GTCAGAGATTACTCATGGTATTTTGGAGCAAACTCCCATGATCTTCGATACGATCAAAGAGGAAATCATGGATATTTTGGATGAGCGTCTGGGCACTTTCCGCACTAAGATTTTGGCTACTGTGGGAGCATGCACTGTTATTTTTTGAGAGTTTCGTGCATGTGGGGATCCTGAGTTCTTCGGGAAGAAGGACCCCATTGTTAGAAAGCGGTGGATTGCGGATATGATGAGAGACTTTCAGACAATCTTCTACTCTGAGGGGTCAAAGGTTAGGTTTGCATTATGTCTACTGAAACAAATCTCGTGATTGGTAGGAGGAGGTCGACCATGCCTTTGGGGAAGAGGCCATTGTGGCGATGACTTGGGATGAATTTGTTACCGAATTCAGGGTAGAGTTTGTGACTTCTATTGAGGTGTAGTAGCTGGTGAGGGAGTTTCAGAACCTTCTTCAGATGAAAAAGACTCTGGAGGAGATCACCACCATGTTCAAGGAGAGGGCTTTGTTGGTTCCGCAGTATGTTGCGGATGAGGATATGAAGAATACGAGGTAGCATGATATGTTGAGGGATGATATTCAAGAGTTTGTGAGCATGTCGAGCTGCAAGACCTTGGAGGATATGATTGCCAGAGCCTAGGAGTGGGAGATTGAGTTGGAGCTGTTGGGTTTTAGTTCAAAAATAGTTTCATAAACTAGAAAGATATGGAAACGGAAGACTTAAAATTTTGAACATAACATAACAATTTTATACCCACCAAGGATCTCCTTGCAATGTTTGGAAAGAAAAAAAAGCACCAAAAAGGAAGAAGTGTTTAACAACCTTTGTAGATTTTGAATCCTCAAGGGGAGGCTTGGAAGTTGATGAAGAATGTGGAACCTTTGAGACACCAACAAAGACTAAACTTGATGTAGATGCTAGTCCAGAAACTCTTAAAACCTTAAGCTTTAAGTTCATAACCAATATGAACTTAAAGAGGGGATGAAGATGGAAGTAACTTCAAGTATTCTTAACTAATTAAGAGATAATGAGAGTGAGAAGATGGATTCCACAATTGTATCAAGCAAGTAAGAATGAGTGCTAGCCTCATCTTTTACATGCATAAAGTGATTTTATGGACCATAAGTTCTTAACACTTTAAGACAAAAATGTCTCCTAAAGCCTATTTGTCTCCCCATGCTTTTAAGACATGTAATTCTTTTCTTTTAAATAATCAAAAGTCCATAACATGATTCTTAGAAGCATGTCACGATTTTAATATATAAAAAAGAAGTCAAACTTTTATAAAAACTTACAAGCTCTTTTATAAGTTATAAAGTTTGGCTTTTGGCTAAAGTCAAAAGTCTTTCTAGTCCAAAATGGTGTACATGACTTATAAATCATACCATATCATATATTATGTTACTTGCTAAAGAAAATTATTATTTCCATGAAATAAATAATTTCCAATTTAATTATAAAAGTTTATTGAATATTTATTAAAATCAATTTCTAATAAGTAATCACTTATATCAAGTTGTTGTTAGTGTGACCCATTAGTATCACATGTTAATTATCAATATCACTTTAATATGACTCTTAAGCATACTAGACCTTTCATGAGCTTCGGACGAAGTGGAAGCCATCTCCAGTTCAGACAGCAGAGGGCTCAATGAAGAGGCCCAAGACTTTAAATTCATGGTCTATAGTCCAGCAAGGCCAGGGCCATTGCATCAAGTGTGCAAAACTGCATGATATATTATATCAATCAGTGGGTTCGGGCTGCTACAGGTGCAGAAAGACCGGTCATGTTAGTCAGGATTTACCTCAAGGATCAGGTCTTATTTGCTTTCATTGCAATTAGTTAGGCCACAAGAAGGCCGATTGTCCGAGGTTGTCAGGAGGAGCAGTGTCGACACCCACTCCAGCCACATTGAGGATCACCGATGGCCGCCACGGTAAGGCAGAGGCTCATGTGGTCAGGAGCTGGGCATTTTAGTTGACGACCATAGAGGCCCGATCAGCACCGGATGTGGTGATTGGTATGTATCTTCTTCATGCTCTTTACTGCTTTCTTTATTTATGCTTATTTTTTGTGTGCTCGTATTTACGAATGTTCTTAGTGAATGGATTGTTCGCTCTAGTTCTTTCCGATTCGAGCGCCACCCGATCATTTGTGTTTTTTACGCTCAACAAGAGGTTTGGTGGCGCTACGGGGGAGTTAGATTATCCATTGGAGGTAGAGATTGTTGATGATCGCCCGATGAGAGTTTCGAGGGTCAACCGGGGATGCGTTTGGAGATGTTCTGTGAGAGGTACCCGATTAACCTGGTTCATATTCCTTTGCGTGAGTCGAAGATTATTGTGGGTATGAACTGGTTGAGCCGGTATGGGGCTATGATAGATTGTGAGCATCAGCTAGTGAGAGTTCGAACTCCGAGTGGGCTAGAAATGCTTATACATGGCGAGGGTGCTTAGCGTGAACCGACTATCCAGTTCAGCTGCGAGGTATCTTTAGCAAGGGTCCTCCAGATTTTTATGGCCTATGTGATAGATACACGAGTTGAGGATAAGAAGACTGTGGATGATGTGCCCAATTTTCGGTATTTCCCTGATGTATTTCCCGAGGATTTGTCGGGAGTGCCTCTAGAGAGGCAAGTTGAGATTCAAATTGATTTGATTCCAGATGCGGTACCGATAACCAAAGTGCCCTATCACTTAGCATCTCTACAGATGCATGAGTTATCTACACAACTACATGAGTTGTTAGGCAAAGGATTCATCAGGTCGAGCAGTTCTCCATAGGGAGCATCGAACCTGTTTGTGAAGAAGAAGGATGGCTCTCACATGATGTGCATTAACTATAGGGGGCTGAACAAGTTGGCGGTGAAGAACAACTATCCACTTCCAAGAATCGACGACATGTCTGATCAGCTTGATGGTGCATCTTGGTTTTCCAAGATTGATTTGAGGTCAAGTTATCATCAGATGAGGGTCAGAGATGAGGATGTGCAGAAGACGACCTTCATGACTCGTATGTGGTGATGCCATACAGGCTCACCAATGCACTGGAAGCATTTATGGATCTCATGAACCGGGTGTGCACACCGATGCTGGACCGGTCTATGATTGTATTTATTTATGATATCTTTGTCTATTCTAAGACCAAGGAGAAACATGAGGAGGACCTGCAGGAGGTTTTGGAGATCTTGAGGAGGGAGAGGCTTTATGCCAAGTTCTCTAAGTGTGATCACAAGAGCCTGAGATATTTGATGGATCAGCCGAACCTGATTATGAGGCAGTGCATATGGTTAGATGTGGTGAAGGATTATGATTATGAGATCTTATATTTGGTGGGTTTTGAGCATAACAAACAATCCTATGTGTGCATGCAACCCTAAATAATTTTGATCTACGTTTTCTCTAATTGAACATATAAATTGAACAACAAAGTAGAAACCCTAGTATAGTAGTATATGATCAAATTACACAATAATGGTTAAGAAAATCATACCTCAATTGTTATGTAGTAATAACAATGAAAACCTTGTGTTGTTGAAGCCTTGAGAGCAAGCTTCACAAATATCATGCCTCTAATGGTTCACACCCAACACTAGCAAATGAAGTTGATGAAGAAGGGGAGAGAGGATGAAATTTCGGCCTAACCCTCTTGGGAATCAGTTGGCCGAAAATCATAGGGTTATGCCCTATTTATAGTGCAGCCAGGGAAACCCTAGATGAGCCCAAATCCAAGATTATCTTAAATCGGGTAATTATCCACTTTCCTGTTTATCCACCAGGGATTATTCTAGAAACCGTTAGGCTCCCAGAAACGTCCCCACCTTATGGATGGTTCTAGATTGCCTCTTGCTCAACTATTGAACAATTACAATTTAGTGTCTGCACATTTAATTAATTCTTTTAATCTCGAAATTAATTCCAATTAATTTCTGATCAAATATTAATTAAATATTACTATTTCTAATTAATATATTATTCTCAAAATATACTAACAAATCATTTATTTTAATTTATTAATCAAATAATAAATTCAATTTCTCTCCAAAATCATATGTTCCATGATTTTTTTTTTTCGATCAATTGACCATTAATTTTTGGAATAGATCTTATAAAGAAATTGATGTGTACGATGTACCCTCTAAACTAGACTAAACGGAGTGGACATGCTAAATCTACTCGTTAAGCTCGCTAAACCCCTTTAACCACCACCCCCTAGCAATTGCTAAGGGGGTCGCTAAGGAGAACCAAGGAATGGAAGCAGAAGAAGCATTATAAGCTGACGGCTTTACTCATCCTTGGTTGTTGGCTCTACCTCGGTCTTTCTGCCTATAGTCTAAGGAACCTATCATAAGGTAGCAAGAGAGCTCTAAGAAGTGGGGTATACAACGAGAAGATAGAAAACAAAATAGTGTTGTGTGATTGGTTGGAAGGAAAGTGGCCTGATCCATCATTTTGCATATCTAAATTTCATGTTTTTTAATTAAAAAAAAGGCAATTTTACCCAATTCCTTTGCCATTTCAACTTTTCATTAAATTTGAAAAATGAAAATAAAAAAAATAATAATAAATATTAAGAGTGTTACCACTCTTTATCAAATGTTAAGAATTAGATGGTTAAAGAGAAAAATAATGTGGCACATAAAAAGACACTCTCTACCGAATATTAAGAATTAGATGGTTAGAAAAAAAAATGATTGTGGCACATGATCTTGATTGTGGCACACAAAAAGATCATGTGCTAAGGTGGTAGGAGACTTCACCTAGCCTTATTGATCGTGAAGAGATAGAACTTTTATTTTAAAATATAAGATTTCTAACTGATTGTTAAATGAAAAATACATTTTAACTTTTTCCCTATCCTCCATGGCATCCGTGATCTGTCTCGATCTTGACAGGTGTTTCTTGTTTCTAGAAGTATTTCGAATTTTTTTAATGTAAATCTGTAGTTTTTAGAACTATTTACAAAAAGTAATAATAAAACTTCAAATATAATTCTAAAAAAATTCACTCTTATGTATATATTTTATATTTAGGGAAATATCAAATCAATAAGATACAAACGATATTACACTTTACAAAAAAGTAAATTGTTTTCCAACTAGCTTCTTATTTACTGTTCTTTGGCCTGAACTCGATACCTTGAATAACAAGCCCAGTCTTCCAATTCCCTCCGTTCACCTCCGCCACACTCAACTCCACCTCCGCCGCATCACCACCTCCATTAAAGTACTCTCCGATTTCAATCTCAAACCATCCATCTTCTCTTTGTTTCGGACCATTCTCTTTAGAAGGCGAAGGCATATCCCAATTCGCAAATCCTCCTTTGCTAAACATCCCAATCCCTCTCCTTGATCGGAGTCCTCGTCTCCGCCCTGCTTCAGGGTCGAGATACACCATCCGGGTTTGACTCCGGTCGTCGTGAAAACCAATACAGACCTCCACCGGTTGGTACTCAAACCCATAAGCTTTCGGTGTTGTTTTGAACACGAGAAGAGCAACGTAAGTTGTATCAGGGGAGAATATTGAAGAATTGATTTTGCCGATGATTTCAAGCAAACTCACACTGATCAGTTCTGCTACCTCTGTGAATCTGTAATTCGAGATTCGAGAAGTTAAAAGAGAGAAAAGGATTTTTGAGGTGTTGATAGCAATGAGCGAGTAGCCTAATATTACCTTGATTCTGTTGTTGGCGTCCATATCCAACAATTTGGGGAATCGGAAGAAGCGATTGATAATTGTCTCGCAGCTAACATGTAACATTTCTTCCCGCTACTTTTATCCAACCAAAAACTCTGTTGAAATTTGATTAAGAGAATCAGATCGATACAATTCAAAACTTCTTTCCCCTCGTTCTTTCGTGTAGAAGAATATGAAATTAACCAGAGAGTCAAATGAAATGAAATAGGAGAGTTATTTAGAAATTTACTTTGTTTCCTTCGTCTATGATGACTGGATGATCGCAGAGACGCAGATAAATCTCCTTCTTCGATGCGACTGAACCACTGTCCGCCGTCTCCGGCAGGTACTCCGGCGGTGTGAAACTCTCCCAAACGCTGTCCCACTGTGCTGCGGAACGGAAAACGGAATTGACGGAGGACAACCGGGAAACATCTCGAGGGCTGGTGAGTGCCAATGCTTCAGCTACGAATCCTTCCGGCAAAGACTCGAAGAAATCCTCCTCCATAGCTAGTTTCAGCTTTTTAACAAGTTCCAGATATTAATGTTTATAACGTGGGTGGGGATATATCATATATGTTTATACTTAGACACGTAACGTCAATGGATGACGTGTTTAAAATAAAATATGGTTCATCAGAAAATTTATTATTTATTTATAATTTATAAAGTATATGAGTGGTATGTATAATCTTTAAAAATTGGGTTCGAAATTTCATTTGATCTTTTTCGTGCTTGTTTTATGTGTATGGTCTTTCTTTAACAATGATATATTTAAATCGTTATCCCCGATATGTGGCTTCATATCATTATATGTGATTGTCACGCAGATATTATTAATTATTAATTTATTATACATGATTATTGCCATCCACCAACAACTAGCGTTACACTTATGTTAGTTATGTATTTATTTTTCCACGACATTTTGTAATCCTTCCATAAATTTTTAGAGTTAGTCGACAACTATACCCTTTTAACGGGGAACCAAAGAGAATTAAAGAAGCTATTATTGACCTAGATTGGATAAAGGAAAAGAAAGAGTTTGAAAGAAACAAAGTATGGATACTAATAAAGCAACAAGAAGAACAATCTATTGTTAGAAATCGATGGGTTTTGAAAAATAAGAAGGATGAAAGTGGATTATGATCCGAAATCGGTTCGTTTCGTGGTTAAAGTATATAATCAACAAGAAACTTTTTTCCGCACTAACAAGAATCGATGCAATTAGATTTTTATGGCTTATGCAGCTCACATGAAATTTAAAGTCTATCATGTGGATGTTAAATATGCATTATTAATGAGAGTTTTGATAGGAAAAAGTCAAGACTCATCAACCTCCATGTTTCATAGATCTTCTTTTAATAGGCTATTGTTATGAAGTATCAAAACAGATTATGGTCTTAACCAAGCTCCACATGTCTGGTATGAAACTCTTTCAAAATAATTAACCGATAAGTGATTTCAACAATACATGTACAATGTTAATGCAACTCATTTAGACGACACTCATATAAAAGATTTTTTGTTGGTACAAATATACGTTGATGTTATTGTTCAATTCTCAACCCATGCTCTGATCTAAACCCTAGTTATCTAAAAAAATTATCATGGTGGATCAATTTCATCAATGATGACCGATTATATGTATGTTGAAGAACACCAAGTGAGACATTCAAAAAATTCTAGCGAATTATGGCATAAGTAGCCTCTATTGTACAAAAGATCTAAAAATGAAAAACGTAGTTTACAAAGTATTAAGAAATAAATAAATTTTGTGGAAAATGAATATCATATTCCAATACGGTGAGTTCTCTACTTGTCCATGAAGTGGACCACATTGAAGATTATATATGCACTAATAAAAAAGTTCATGTTTTGTTGTTGGCTTGAACAAAGTGTGGTTATATGATGACATGATTAATATTAACAAATAGATATTGATAACATTAGTAATCTTCAATGATTTGTAGCATAACAATGTGTAAGGAAATGTGGTTATATGGTGACATGATTAGCATTTAAAAATATATATTGATAACATTAGTACATAACAGACAAAAGAGATCAGTAATATAGATAGTTTTATCCCTTCATCCGTTGTCTTCAATGATTTGTAGCATCTCCTGATATGTTTTGATAAGTTTTTGAGCGAGACACATGCATTTGAGAACAGTGAGGTATGAATCTTGGGATTCTGATAACAGTTGTTGCAAGAGAGATTATCATCACATGTACGAAATTCAAGCACCAATATGTCCATAAAACACAAAAAAATGATTAGTATGTCAAACTGGTTGACATAGAAAAAACATGTCACATTTAGTTGGTTTTCATTGACAAAACTGAAATATAGTGGTTAAACCACAAAAATTACCAAAATATAGTGAAACATCCAAAAATTATGACCCAGAAATTTCATTTTTAATTAAAGTAAAAATAGTATTTCCAAAACATTGTTCATACATCCCGATCGAATAAACATGTCAATCATCATAAAAATCAAAGTATGTCCTATAAACATAATCCATATGGTGTGTGCGATGCAGTGAACCCGAGCTCTTCTACTTGGAACCGGATGTATCTGAAACATAAACTAAAAACTGTAAGCACAAAGCTTAGTGAGTTCCGCAAGATACTGTAACAACCCGATATTTCGAATCAATGTAACGATCCAAAGTCGAGTTTGGTAACCTATCTTAATATAATAGGAATAACGTCAAAAATGAAATGTTCGAAAAGCTCAGTTTGAGTATACTAAGTGGTAGATATCGTAACAAGGTTTCCAAAAATATAAAGTGTAACACCCAAATTTCAATTGTTCAATGAAGGGCCAAAAGTGTAAATTTTGGAAAGGGACTCGACGAGTAGGTCTGCTTACTCGCCGAGTCGGAGCGGGATTCTATCGCGGTTTAAGTGGCCAACTCGCCGAGTCGGCGGCTTGGACTCGACGAGTTGGTGCTGATGAGAGAAAACCCTAATCCCGGGGGGTTGTGCCCTATATAAAGCACATTATAACCCACCCTCAGCCTCTTTGCTACCCTTTTGAGATCCAGAAACCCTAGAATCGAGTGAGCTTCCATTAATAGAGAGAATAGAGCTTTGGAGGAGAAAATCTTGGAAAGGGGCTTGAAGATCAAGAGGTTTGCTGCAAAGGAGTGGTGTAGATCCGGGATCTACTTCAGTTGGAGCTCATTTTGGAGGTAATAATCTGTTGCTTGGGCTCTTTTGCATCTAGATCTATTATCATTTGAGATTTGGGGCATTTTTGGTATGATTGAGAGCTATTTCGAGTTAGAGGCTTAGATCTGAGGTTGCTACTTCAGATCTAGGCTTGTGATGGTCCAAAATGTCATAAAGCTTTTGTCTAAGAGTTGTTGGTAAAGCCCCTTTGTCATGAACCCTAGCCCTAGAGTGTTTTGGGCCTATATCTCCTTGGTTTCACGTAAAGTTTGCAACTTTATGTGAGGGTTAGACTGTAGAAGAGTGGATCTATGGATTGGAGCCCCTGCATGGCTCGAAAAGCCTCTGTATGGATTGAGAACTGGAGAGACTCGACGAGGCACATGGGTGTACTCGACGAGTTATATGAACATGTGCATGGACTCGGCGAGTTGGAAGAACAACTCGGCGAGTCTGTTGAAGATTGCCTTGGACTCGGCGAGTCTGTTCTTGGACTCGGCGAGTCAGGTCGCAAAACCCCTAACCTCTTCTGGTTAAGACGCAGATCAGTGAGTCGAGGGATGACTCAGTGAGTTGGACAGGATGGGACTTAGAGATCGTTGGACTCGACGAGTCTTGGGGTGACTCGGCGAGTTGAGTCGTGTTCTAAGAGTTTTCAGAGTATAAGGACTCGACGAGTCAACGGGTTGACTCGGCGAGTAGGGTCAGTCAGGAAGTTTGACTTTGGCCTGGACTTTGACTTTGACCTTCAAGGGTGTTATGGTAATTGGTTATTTATGTCAATGGTCCATTGATGGCAATAGGTGTTGGAGTTTGGAGCAGTGCTTCGGGTGTGTGCTTCCGTGGTTCGGTTCTTCATTTCAGGTGAGTTATCCTCACTATATCAACAGGGTCTACGGCACCAAGGCCGGCCCTTTATCGGATGGAAATCCGGGTATTGTTTGTTATGTTATTGCCTTGCTAGATCTGCATCTTGGTATTTAGGATGGTGTATGTTAGTGACCTGGTTAAGGTCGGTACCCGGTATATAGGGTAATGTTATGTTAGTGACCTGGTTAAGGTCGGTACCCGGTATATAGGGTAATGTTATGCTAGTGACTGGTTAGGTCAGAATCCTGGTTAGGATGTTCATATGTTATGTGATCTGTTAGACGGTTTGTCTGGTTAAGGAGTTGTTATGTGATTAATTGTTTTATGTGCACATGGTTGTTTGACGGGAGTTGGGTTGAGGCGGGTCCTGCTTTGTGCTGTAGGCCAACATACCCAAGGCGGACCGGATATTCCGAAGGCCCAGCGAGCGGTCCGGATAGGCTGAAGGCCCCAAGAGGGCGGACCAGACGTGCCGAGGCTCAGAGAGTGGACCAGGCCGACTAAAGGCCCGGTGTGGGCGGACCAGTCATACTGTAGACTCAGAAAGTGGACCAGGTTGATTGAAGGCCCGGTGCGGGCGGACCAATCACACTGTAGACTCGATGTACATGGCTAGATTCGGAGGGTAGACCAGGTGGACTGAAGGCCCGGTTCGGGCGGACCAGTCACACAGTAGACCCGATGTGCATGGTTGTTCTATTTGTGATATGTTATGAGTATGTTTATGTGCGGTTGGTATTTTGGGGGTAACTCACTAAGCTTTCGGGCTTACAGTTTCAGTGTATTGTTTCAGGTACTTCAGGAGATCGTGGCAAGGCGAAGGCGTGATCGTACCGCTCCTCATGTTTTATGATTTATGTGATATGGTTCTGGGGGATACTCTGATGTTTAAACTATTTTGAAAACGAGATCTATGAACTTAATGGTTTTTGAATGAATTGAAATGTTTTAATTTGGTTGAAATTTTTGGTCGTTACATAAAGAACACAAAAATCCGAGTTATAACGAAGAAGTTATGACCGATCGAAGATACGCGACGGTATCGGTAAAACACTGTTAAGCATAAAATGAGAAATTTCAATAAAATACTTTTCAACCTTAGGTGTCTAAATGAAATTCATATATATCCCAAAACCATAAACATAAATAAAAAGAACGCCCTAATCTGACTTCATATGAGGAAGTTATGATTTTTCGAAGTTTCGGACATAGCAGTAGACAGCTAAAAACTCGAAATAGAGATCGAGCGACTTTTTGCCAACATGACCTAAACGAGAATCGAAGATCTCATCAATGGTATTACAACGGTAAAAAGTCTGACAAAAACGGACATCGGATGAAGAAGTTATGAAATTTTAACGGACTTTTCCTGTTCCGGCCTGTTAAAAATATAATATTAAAAATAAATTGAAAATTAGCCGACAAAGTCTAAACAAGAGTTGTAGAGCATAATCTCACCTACGTGTGGATATAAAGAACGTTGAAAACAGAGCTCGTATG